CCTTCTAGCCCCGTTTGTGGCCTGGGAAAGCAAGCAAGGATGGCCTAATGCCTTGGGACTCTGCACCCCCGTGAGAGGAAGAAACTCCTGGAAGAAACTCCCGGCTCCTGGCTTTGGATTGCCTCAGTTCCAGCCATTGTGGCCCTTGGGTAGTGTACCAGTGGATGGAAGATCAGTTACTTTCTTTCTCTCCTTATCTCTATAAGTCTGACTTTTCTATAAAAATAAATCTTAAAAAAAAGAATATGATTTAAAAAAATATTCATTATGGAGAGAAACTGGTTAACATGTACATGGGTATAACTGGATAGAAGTTCTAATATTTTCTGGCACAATAGAGTAACTATGGTTGATTAAATATTTCAAAATAATTTAAAAGAATATTGAGGGCCCAGCACGGTGGCCTAGTGGATAAAGTTCTCGTCTTACACGCACCAGGATCCCATATGGGTGCCAGTTCATGTCACAGCAGCCCCACTTCCCATCCAGCTCCCTGCTCGTAGCCTGGGAAAGCAGTTGAGGACAGCCCAAAGCTTTGGGACCCTGCACCCACGGGAGACCCAGAAGAAGTTCCTGGCTCCTGGCTTTGGATTGGCTCAGCTCCAGCTGTTGTAGCCACCTGGGGAGTGAATCAGCCGACAGAAGATCTTTCCTCTCTGTCTCTCCATCTCTCTGTCTGACTTTCCAATAAAAATAAGTAAATCTTTTAAAAAAAGAATGTTGATTGAATGTTATCAGAACAAAGAAATGATAAGTTTCTGAGATGACAAGTATCTTAACATGATCATTACAGATTGTATAAATATGTTGAAATGCCATAGAAACATGTATAACTTGTTGTGAATAAATTAAGAACTTAAATATAAGGGTGGGTATTGTGGCTCAGCGGATTAAGCTGCCACTTGGGACACCTACATTCCATACTGCAGTGCCTGAGATCAGTCCCATCTCAATTTCAATTCAGAGTTCTGCTGGGAGGCAGCAGATAATGACCCAAGTATTTGGATTTTTGCCACTCATAAAGAGACCTAGAGAGTTCCTGGCTCCTGGCTTCTAGCTGATTCAGCTCCAGCATTTAAGGAATGGAACCAGCAGAAGATTCTCTCTTTCTCTTTCTCTTTCTCTCTCTATATGAATGTTTATACACACACACACACATATATATATGCCTCTGTGTGTGTGTATATATAGACATAAGACCTATCATATGCCAAATCACCCAGTGTTTGTGTCTGAGACACAATCCTCTGTAAGACAGAACAACATACCATGCATCTGGGGCATCAGCTATGGGAGAATCTCATTGTCAATTCAAGGACATCTATACTACCTAGCACTATCTTCTTTTTTTATTTTTCAAAATCTTAAATACTTTAAAAATAATTTTTATTTATTTGAAAGAGTTATAGAGAACAAGGAAAGAAAGAAAGAAATAGATCTTCCATCTGTCTAGTTCACTCCCCGAATGGCCACAACGGCTAGGGCTGAAGTTAGGAAACTGTAAACTCCATCCAGGTTTCTCACACGGGCACAGGAACCCAAGCACTTGGCCTGTCCTCTCAGGGAACAAGATTGAAAGTGGCACAGCCAGGACTTGAACTAGAACCAACAGAGCTGAATGAAGGGGTTTAACCCACCACACCACAGCACCAACCCCATACTACTTTTCATCAAGTGTCAAAACCTCCATTCCAACACTGGAAGCCTCCTTAGCAATCCAACGCCAACAAAGTTCTTTAACATCTACTCTGGCGCCATCTCCTCCTAACATACCAGGCCAGTATAACATCCACACTGATGATAAAGTCAACACAGTCCCTCATTCTCCCACTACTCCAATAACCGACATCTCTATCTCCCTTCAATAAAAGTGTCTCTACCTTGAAATTCCGTACTCTGAGCTTTCAACGACAGTTTTGGGGGTCTTGTTTTGTTGTTTTTTGTTTTGCTTTGTTTACAAAATCTGGTCTGCAGCCGTACATCTCTAATGGTCTCCTTCTCTAATCACCAGCCTCCTGCAGGTTTTACTTGTTAGAATCCATTTTGGATTGTACAGTTGCTCCCTGTTTTCCCTTTCTGCCCTGTCAATGCTGAATCTGGATCAACACCCTCTTTCTCAAACCGTACTCTTTGCCTTCCTACACTTAGACTGTTGGAAAGTATAAAATCCATGCTACTAGGCCATGTTACAAATTTGTCTAAATCACCAAATCCACATGGATCATCTTCTTTCCTTTTCAATGCTTCATCTATTTCCCTTTCACTCTCCAGTTAAGGAAGGAAGGAAGGAAGGAAGGAAGGAAGGAAGGAAGGAAGGAAGGAAGGAAGGAAGGAAGGAAGGAAGGAAGGAAGAAAGAAAGAAAGAAAGAAAATGAAAAGAAAGAAAGAAAGAAAATGAAAAGAAAGAAAGAAAGAAAAAATGAATAATCCCATGGTCAGAATACCTAAATCAGAAATTCACCAGGTAGCCTAGCAGTTAAGACGTCCTTGCCGTAGGTCAGAGTACATGGATTCCTTATCTGTCTCAAGCTCCTGATTCCAGCTCCTACTCATACAGACCCTGGGAGGCAGCCCTCTTGGCTTAAGTATTTGGGCTCCCACCAACCACACATGTAGGGGACCTAGATTGAGTCAGGCATGCAGACGGAAATTCAACAGATGCATTCTTCGTCTCTCAAGCACACTCGTAAAAATTTTTAAAATCATCACAGTTCCTTGAGCCACTTACTTCTCCACAGCTAACTAATCTAATAAAAAAACAAGGCTATCAAAGCCCCTCACCCTTTTTCCCTTCAAACATACTGTCTTCCTTGACTTCTATCCTTTTGGTAACCAAGAAGAAAATGCCCAAAGTATTTCTCATCAATCTAGAAAACCTGTAATAAAAAGAAGCACATTCTTGTACTACAGTGGAAAGAACAATTTCATAAGTAAACAAATCTTTGCCAGTAGTCTTTCCAACTACAAAAAAGAAAAGAAATATTGATGCATAAACCATAAGGGCCTCGTGATCTATCATGCATCTTTGCGAGTACACACTTTGGATACAGTGGTAAGGATACCCACATCCCATATCAGTGCCTAGCTCTGCATCCTGGCTCTGCGTCCAATCCCAGCTTCCTCTTGGACTACACCTCAGGAAGCAATAGGTGATGGATCAAGTACTTCGGTCTCTGCCACCCACATGGGAGATTCAGACTGGGTTCCCAGCTCCTGTTTCATCCTTGCCCAGACCTAGCTGCAGTGGAATGAACTAGCAGATTGAAGATCTATCTTTGCCTCTATCTCTTTCTGTCCCCCTCACCCATACTTCTCATATAAATATAAATGCATACATATGTAGATAAATGAATAAACAGAAAACAAAAATAGTTGGTTTGTTCCCAAAAAAGTATCTTTATGGTACCTAACATAGAATGTATTCCCAACAATGTTGCACTACCAGCTCTTTTTACAACCACATTGTTGAAGAACTAATTTTACCACCTTCACTTCCTCCTCAATCCATCAGGATCTAATGCTACCATTGCCATCACCACAGTATCAAGGAAATGAATGCCAAATTCAGTGGCTTAATTCCCTTTTTACTTGACCTCTGGAGCACCAGACACAGTCATCCCCCTCCCAAATTTTTAAAGATCCATATATTTATTTACAAGGCAGAGTTAGAGAGACAAAGGGACAGAGATCTTCCTTCCCCTGGGTCACTCCCTAGATGGCTGCAATGGCAGCAGCTGGGCCTGTCTGAGCTTCTTCTGGGTCTCCCTCATGGGTGGTTGCCTTCTCTTCAGCAGGGAGCTGGATGGGAAGTAGAGCAGCCAGGACTCTAACCAGCACCCATCTGGATGCAACAGTGCCAACCAACCCCTCCCCCTTCTCTCTTCTTGAAACTCTTCCTTTGACTTCCATCACAATGCCATTCTGTGCTGGTTCTCATTCCATTCGTTTAGCCTCCCTTTTTCAGTCTACTTTCCCTCAAACAGGGAGGGCCTTCTGGTCCATAGCCCTTCTCTTCTTTCGGTATTACCTTCACCTTCTAAGACTTCAAACATCTCCCTCGCCCACTCCGCATATTCTCTCTTAACCTTCAGTACCTCAAACTGGTGTATTCAAAAGTAAATTACTTCTCTTCAAAGTTCTGTACTCATTTAACATTACCAATTCAGCCAAGCCTGAAAATACTCACTAATCTTCTCAAGCACATTTTGAATCCTCCAGGAACTGCAGGCCACACTTCTTTTTCCTCTCAACACCTCATTACGTCCCCCTGACCCTGAATCAACACCGGGCTTTCTCCTGGCACCTGCTGCTTCCCGCTGTCCACTCTTCCTACGTATCTTCGCCAGCCATCACACCAGTTCCAACGGGCTCCCATTTACCAACCTGTCAACCTTGCCTGCCGGCGCCTACAGAATAAAGTCCACATTCTCTTGCAAAGTTCGCTAAGAAGTGCAAATGGAAAAGTTTCCGAACCAGACGAGCCTGAGTTTCATTTCTAGCTAACTCAGCGATGTGAAGGGCCAAAGGCAGAGAAAGGAAGTAGAGGGGAGGGGAGGGGGAAAGAGACACAACCCGGTCTGAGGGCCGGTGCTCCTGAGGACCAGAAGCGGGGATCTGCAAGGGAAATCAGGGGCGGGGAGGAGAAACAGTCCCTGGCAGTTCTGCCGGAGTGAGGGGGCTGTCTCCTCACACCGAGGTGTCCGCGGAAACCAAGGGGATGCGGAATCTATCTGAAGTTAGTTAGGTGCCCGCTAGCAGTCTTGTGCCAGACCCCAGATCCGCTCTAACTTTGGATGGGCCGCCAGCCTCGGAGGGCACACTCCTGAGGGGACCGAGCAGGACAAGGGAAAGGGACCGAGAAGGGGACTGTCCTCAGCCCATGGGGCAAAGAATTTCTGGAAAGTCTAAGGTTCCAGTCCGAGGGGCTAAGGGGGTGTAGTGGTCGCGCACAGCAGCCGCGCTGTCCCAGGTCGGTGCTTCACGCCCTCTTCGGACATTACCTGAGACGGGACTGAGCGGCCAGAGGAGTGCCTGCGCCAGGACGGGAAGGCAGAGGCCAGGACGGAGCATAGTCGCCCTCCCAGCTCGGTGGCGGCAGCGGCTCCTCAGCCGGCAGAGGCGGTAGGGGTCCCTCGCGCGGAAGCCGGCAACTTGGGGGCACCAGCAGTGGCAGAAGACGAGGAGGCTACTGCCATGGCCCGGCAGTCGAGGCCGCTCCCCCACACCTCTTCGGTGGGGACAGAAGGACGCTCCCACCCGCCACGCGCGGAGGGCAGCTGGGACCGCCGCGGGACTCCCGGGCCGCGGGCGACCGAAACACCTCCCAACGGAGCCGCCACTCGGGGGCGGGGGCTCCTGGAGACACGCCCCCACCGAGCCCTCACTCAGAGTAGCCAATCAGTCGCCGATTCATGATAAACGAGCTGCTGGCATTGCCCAATCAGCGTGAGGCATGCCACGTGGTATAAGGGTGGGCACAATGGGCGTCCAGAAAAGCCAATCAACAGTGCTAGGCGCCAACTCTGGGTGGAGGGGAACCAATAGGAAGGCAGAGGAGGCAAAAACAGAGGAGGCAGTGTGTGCTCGGACAGACAGAACGGAAGAGGGAGTACACCTGGAGAAGCCCAAGTTCAGGAGTCTCTCAGAGTGCTGGACCAACGGAAACACCAAACACAGAAGCGATTGGTGATAGATAAACCGATTGAAAAGGGATTAGATTTTCACGGCTCTTGAGTTGGTCAAGATCTAAAATAAGGCAAAGTTCTATGAAGGCGCCATCGGCAGGATCTCAAACTGGAAGGAAAGAAGCGGTACATAAATAATTATTAGAGCCATGCGTCAAGATGCCCAGGGAACAGTGTAGTCTAGATTAAAATATTCGATGGAGATGTAGAGGAATTAACACTTGAACTTGACTTGAAAACAGGATTTCTGCAAGAGTTGAGGAGGAGTGGTAACACAAGAATTCTACCCAGCGGTTCCACAGACACATGTTTCCTCCTGCTTTCGGTGTTTGGACGGCAGGATTCATAGTATACCTCGGCAGTTTGCAGTATCAAGAAAGCAAGCACAGCCAGGGACAGTGGATTGTGATCTTACAATTGGATACCTCCTTTTAGATTTTCCTCCTCCTGGAAGAGGAAGGGATTTAAACCATCAAAGTAGAGGTGGTATGCATTCCTGACAGCAATGAAGTTTATGAAGATGTAAATAATAGTAGTATAGTAGTAATAGTAACAGAAAGAGGCTGAATGTGGATTGCGCTCAGATGCCGAATGTGCCTGCCCTCTTTTTTAGTGCTGAGATAGCTGTTGCTGAGTAGGAACATAACCTAAACAGTGTACTGCTTTAGGAAAATTAACTGGTCGCTCACAGGATCTCTGGAGAAGAGGTCCCTCCTCCCCCAATCAGCCCTGTCCCCCATCCACCCACGGCCTTCCTGGTATCATCCTTCTAGCAATAAATCAAGTGCTGCCCCCTGCTGACACGTCAACTACCACTGTAACACATTATTACTTAATAATTCTACTGGGAAAGCCCTGGCGTCCCTACGAAGTCAGTGATGAACACAGCACTGGTGGCAACCGGGTCAGGGGATGCCACTGTGCTAGCTGTATCCCGTCTGTCCAGTGAACAATATAAAACCAGGTGTTCATCACCCCTGCTTCCACGGGAAGGTGAGGCTTGATGAGAACTTCTGGGCTCAAATTTGAAAACTAGCTCTGGTCTCTAAACAATTTCCCAATACTTACGGGAGAAAAGGATTTCCCTATAGCTAGTCAAATAGTCAAATCCCCTCTCTATGAGCTTTTTACTAGTGAATACAGTCCCTTAAAGACTGCCATTACTGAAGATAGTTTGTGCCCTATGCAGCTCAACTATTTCGTAGGTTTTTATCTCTCTACAGAGAAATAAAATAAAGAGCTGGGACCTTTACCTGAGCCTGCTGCACATCTCAGGCAAGACAACCACATACTGGGTCGGCCCTGAGCAAGCATCCATTTATGGAGCTGGCACCATGGTTTTAGTACATTAAATCTCCACCTGAGGCACTGGTATCCTGTTTGGGCTCTGGTTCAAGTTCTGGATGCTTGACTTTTTTTTTTTTTTTAATTGGAAAGGCAGATATACAGAGAGGAGGAAAGACAGAAAGGAAGATCTTCCATCCGATGATTCACTCCTCAAGCAGCCGCAATAGCTGGAGCTGTGCCAATCCGAAGCCAGGAGCCTCTTCCTCCAGGTCTCCCACTCAGGTGCAGGAACCCAAGGCTTTGGACCGTCCTTGACTGCTTTCCCAGGCCACAATCAGGGAGCTGGATGGGAAGTGGGGCTGCCAGGATTAGAACTGGCACCCATATAGGATCCCAGCGTGTTCAAGGTGAGAACTTTACCTGCTATCCCGCTGGGCCCGGATGCTTGACTTCTGATCCAGCTGCCTGCTAATGGCCTGGGAAGGCAGTAAAAGATGCCCCAGGTCCTTGTGTCCACATGGAAGACCTGGAAGAAGCCCCAGCCTCCAGACTTCTGATCTGCCTAGCTTCAGCTATTGCAGTCATTTGAAACATGAATCAGCGGATGGTAGATATCTCTCACCCTCTCTCTTTCTGTAAATATACTTTTAAAATAGAAATAAATATTTTTAAAAATACATAGTTTAAAAATACATACCTAGTCATCTTTTGACTACAGTTAATAGTGAATGATATCCTACGAGGTCTCAGTGAGATGCTGATGCTTCTAAGAAAATCCTAGGCTGTCTAGAACACAAGGCCCACATAAGGAGACAGTAAAGCTCTCCTCAGTGATCTAAGAAGACACACATTTCAGAGTGAAAGCAAGTGGTGGAAGGATCAGAACCCCTACTCACAAGACAAATGTTTTTAAAGATTTATTTTATTTCTTTTATTGGAAAGTCAGATATACTGAGAGGAGGATAGAGAGGAAGATCTTCCATCTGTTGATTCACTCCTCAAGGGACTGCAATGGCCAGAGCTGTGCCAGTCTCCCATATGGGTGCAGGGTCCCAAGGTCTTGGGCTGTCCTTGACTGCTTTCCCAGGCCACAAGCAGAGAGCTGGATGGGAAATGGGGGGCTGCCAGGATTAGAACCAGCGCCATATTTATATTTATTACATATATATATTTATAATATATTTATAATAAATATATATAATTCATTTTAATATATATTTATTATATATATTATATATCTATAATTCATTTTATATATATATAAAATAAAACAAAATAAAGCAGGGAGGGGCAGTGGCATTGGCTCAACAGGCTAATCCTCTACCTGCAATGCCAGCATCCCATATAGGCATTGGTCTGAGTCCTCACTGCTATACTTCTGAACTGGCTCCTTGATTATGGCCTGGGAAAGCAGCAGAGGATGACCCAAAGCCTTTTAACTCTGAACCCACATGGGAGACTTCGAAGAGGCTCTTAATTCTTAGCTTCAATTAGGCCTAGATCTGGCCATTGCAGCCATTTGGGGAGTGAATCAGCTGTAATTCTTTTACGTAAAAAGAATAAATCTTTTTTAAAAATAAAATCATTGGTCTGGCATGATGATTCAATTAGCAAATTCCCCCCTTGCAAGTGCTAGGATCTCCTATTAGAGCTGGTTTATGTCCTGGCTGCTCCATTTTCCATCCAGGTCTCTGCTTGTCTTCCGGGAAAACAGTGGAAGATGGCCCAAAGCGTTGGGACCCTGCACCCACAGCCCAAGTTCTTGGAATGCTGCACCCATATGGGAGACTCAGAGGAGACTCTTGGCTCCTGGTTTCAGATCAACTCTGCTCTGGTTGTTGTCTTTTGGGGAGTGAACCAACAGATGGAAGATCTTTTCTCTCCTTCTCTCTATAAGTCTGCCTTTAAATAAAAATAAATTAAGAAAAAAATAACCGAATATCATAATGTATCATTCCTAGAAATAGTAAGCACTAAATCATAAAATATTTCAGTTAATAAAATACACACATATGTAGTAACTAGATTTCAATATAAACTTTTTAAGAAAATTATTTATTTTTATTGGAAAGATTTACAGATCAGATTTATAGAGAAAAGGAGAGATAGAAAGCTCTTCAATCCATTGGTTCATGCTCCAAACGGCTGCAATGGCCAGAGCTGAGCTGATCCAAAGCTAGGAGCCAGGAGCTTCTTCAGGTTCTCCCGCACAGGTGCAGGGTTCCAAAGCTTTGGGCCATCCTCCTCTGCCCTCCCTGGCCACAATTAGGGAGCTGAACAGGAAGTAGAACATCTGGGACACAAACCAGTGCTCCCATGGAATCCTGGCACTTGCAAGGTGAGGATTTAGCCATTGAGCCATTGCAGCAGCCCCCACTATAAACTTCTTTACTGTACATCACAGTTAAAACATCACGACAGACATTAGATTCCAGGCAGAGCCTCAAAGAAGAGAGGCTTGGGAGAGGGTTGTTGCAGCAAAGTAAGCTAGGCTGACAGGGATGAAGACAGCGGGAGAAGCTGAAGTGAACCAAACAGGAAGGAACAAGACAAGAGGAGAAGAAGCCCCCACCTTGCAGGTTCAGAGTCTGCCAGAAAGCCCCCTTCTCTGACATCCCCAACAGCACTACTGCACCCGAGTAGCATCCGACCTCCATCTACTTACCAGAACAGGCACTCACTCCTTTTTCCAACTACACCTGAACTGGTATTCAGAAAGTGCCCATCTACCTCTGTGAACCTGAATCTCAGAGGTAGATGTTACTGGAAACCATCAAGTAAGGGGTGGCAGAAAGGACATACTGAATCTATCCCACATGGGGCTGTCACAGAAAACACAGCAGGGAGGGAAAGCTGCTTTATTGCAGTTAGGGAGCAGAGATGGACAGGCAGTGAGGAGCCCCAGCAGAAAAAGCAGGCACCTGTTCACAAGAAGAGGCAGGGGGCCCAGAAACAGAGTCTTGGAGGGAAGGGTGGACATGGAAAGCTTCATCCCACCACTCCTTCAAGTCCTTACAGGTCACTCAGGAGCATCTTGGAACCTTGAAGGAATGAGTCCACTTGCTTAAGACCCTGGCCCTGGAGCTGAAGGCTGCTGGGCTCCAGGTTAGGAAGGGTGCTCCCTGGGAGACCTAAGCAAAGAGAAGGGAACAGAAAACCAACCCTCAGCAAGCACTGTAGGCCTTGGGCCTGTCTGACAAAAATGGGACATACCAGCTTGACTTGGGATAAGCAGTGACCGAGGTTGATGATTGATGAATTCACAAAGGAGGCAGAAACTCCATTCTACCCAGCTGGCATCCAAGCATCCCATTCAAATTCAGCCTCCCCCAGAGCAAGGATCTCTGCCCTTACCCTTATCTAGCTTCTTTCTAAAGTTCTCAACTACTGTTACCATCTGCAAGATGGACTTCTGAGCTGGTGAAGGCAGTGGTCGGGGACAGCTTATACTGGAGGACGTGGTCCGAGGTCCTGGGAAAAGGGGACACAGTCGGAGTCAGTGATGGAGACAACAGGTGGCAGAGATGTGCCTGGCCCATTACCCTCCCCCTCCCTGAGGCCAGGACTCCAGGCTCTCCCCTTTGATCTTTCAAAAATACACAGATAACCTCAGTGACTCTGAAGAATGCCTGATGCTGCCCTTCTGGGCTGTAACCCCAGTAACTCACTCTGCCCCTCACAGCTCAGGCCTGGTTGTAGCCAGTGCCTGGTCTCTGTGGATCAGAACCCTTCCTACTGCCACAGCACCCACACCCACTGACCTGAGGAAGTCGTGCTCCTGCCAGGTGTCCTGGATCTCTGTCATGGCGACCTCCAGGGCGTGATCCTTGTGGTCACTTTGCAGCTGTTCTAACATCTGCCAGATCACGGGCACAGGTAGGACCAAACCTCTCCCCTTCCACGAGGAAACCCCCTCCCCATCATGGGCCTCTGCAGGTCACCTGGGACCCTCATATGGGTGGGGAAGTTTCTTATTGGCCTGAAGCAGAGAACTTGGGAAGAGATTTGAAGAAAACAATCAGCATAAGGAAGAGTAAAAATAGAGATGGGGGCAGGAGGGGACATTCTGGTCTTCCTACAAGACAGGCTAGAGAAGGGAAGGGGCCTCAGTGGGGAAACACAGACGCATATCCAGTCCTGGCCCTACCTTCCAGCTACGGACTTGGGCCTGCCGCCCCTCAGCTATCTGTTTTAGGAGTAGCTCCTGATGCTGGCCTACAGATGAGAGCAAATGTAAGGGGCTGCTCCCCCACTTCTTTCTTCCAGCCTTGACAAGAAGCATTCTGGTCTAGTCACTGCCTGGACACTTCCAGGCTGCCTAGAGAGACTTAAATTCACCTTAGGAGAGGCAAAGAACAAGACAAAACTACATGGCCAGACTTCTCAGTAGCTCAGGCAGCCAGTGCTATGGCAACTGACGGGTAGTGCAAGAAGACTTTCCAGAAAACAAGCCAGGGAACACCTTACCGCCAAGCTTCTACTCACTCAGCTGGTCCCGCACCAACTTCAGTTCCTCCCGCAGAATCTCTGACTCCTCCCACAGCAGCTGCCGCCTATGGAATGGAGAACAGTGTCACCTGAGAGTCAGTCAACAAGCCTGGGGTGGTGGGGGGGATGGGGAGGGGGTAATGTGGTGGCTTAAATTGCCTAATCCTCTGCCTGCAAGTGGCATATAGGTGCCAAGTCGTGTCTTGGCCATACCACTTCTGATTCAGCTCCTGCTTATGGACTGGAAAAACAATGGAGAATGGCCCAGGTCTTTGAGCCCCTGAACCTCAGTGGGAGACTCAGAGAAGTTCTTGGTTCCCAGTCACCTTAGCTCCAGCAGAACAACCATTTAAGGTGTGAACTAGTGAATGGAAGATCTCTCTCTCCTTCTCTCTGCATATCTGACTTTCCAATAAAAACACATCAACAGGGTCCAGCCCAGTAGCCTAGTGGCTAAATCCTTGCCTTGCAACCACCAGGATTCCATATGGGTGCTGCTTTGTGTCCCAGATGCTCCTGTTTCCCATCCAGCTCCCTGCTTGTGGCCTGGGAAAGTAGTAGAGGACGGCCCAAAGCCTTGGGACCCTGCACCCACATGGGAAATGTGGAGGAAGCTCCTGGCTCCTGGCTTCCTGATCTGATGCAGCTCAGCTCTGGCCATTGCAGTCACTTGGGGAGTTAAGCAGAGGAGAGAAAATCTTTTTTTCTTGTCTCTCTTTGTTCCTGTAAATCTGCCTTTCCAATAAAAATAAATATCTTAAGGTTTCCGGAAAAAAATCAACAAACCCAGAGTGAAGAAGCCACTGGCCTCCTGAAATTACAAGAGTTCAGAAACCTCAAGAAGGCAAGACCTTGCTTATCACTTACTCCGACTGCTGCTGGGAAAGCCCCCTGTTGGCATGACTGCACTTTCCTGGTCCTGTTTGTCCTTGGGCTTGGGCCTGCTCTTGCACCTGGCTCCGAAGGCCCTGCAGGTCCCTTTTCAGCATGTCAAACCGTTGATCCAAGAGAAGGGTCCTCTCTTCCCGGCTCCCCTTCAGCAACTTTAGTGATACTGCAGGGAAAAAGTTATGGATCAGCCCTCTGAGAGTTTTGCCTAGGAGCCCACATTACTTACAAATTAGGAAACAGGCAGACCCATGGTGAAACTGCACGTACCCACATAGACCCATGTGTATGAGGGAAAACAGCTTTGTTAGATACCTTCCAGGGCACTGATCTTGAGTTTTTGCTGTTCTCGTTCTTCCATCAGACCCTGGACAGCCTGCCGTAGTGTCTCAGTCACCTGCCCAGGCAGAAGAAAACACACGACCTCCTCACAGGCCGTCCCAACCCCGGGTATTTGCGGTGCCCACAAACACTACATCTAAACACCTGGGAGTGCAAGCCTCACCTGAGCCTGAGCCTGAAGCTGGGATCGGAGGACGGCGATTTCATCCCAGAGAGAGGACCCGCTGTGGCTTTCAGTCCAGCTCCGCCTCTCTGGGACATCAGGGGTCTTCAGAACCCAAGGAAGCTGAGCAGGCACCCCTGACTGGGGAAGCAAGTGAGGAGGGGAAGTCCAGGTCCCAGCTAGGTTCCGTGCTGAGGAAATAAGACAGGGACCAGTGCAGACCTACTGTGTGGGAGAAGAGAGTTCAGGAAAGGACACGGCAAGGATCTGGAAGGAGTTCCAGGTGGTAGGTCCGGGCACTGGAAAAGGCGTAGATTTGGGGAAGGAGAAAGGCTGGGAGGAGATAAGGCCAATACTTCCCTGTAGTGGTGACTTCGAAGGGATATAGCCGCTGCTACAAAACAAAGGCAAAAATCGAGGGAGTTTCTCGTCCTGTCCTCAAGCCCCTAACTTCCACCTTTACCCCGCAACCGGGGCCTGCAGAGCCCCTCACCTTAATCCGGGCCACATTTCTATCCGTTGCTTGGAGAAGCACATCGAGCTGCTCAGACCAGCTCAAGCTCCTGCTCATACTCTGTGGCGGGAGTCTGGCTCCCGGGGCCGTCCCAAGGTACAGGGTTAGATCAAAACGGGGAGTGAAGATGCAAGGTCGGGGGAAGGAGGCAGTATCAAACCAAACTAGACTCTGGGACGAGGCAAGCGCACACCGCTCCTCACGGACTGCGGGAACTTGGGTACTGTAGTGAGAACTGAAGCCGCGGAATCTTGGTGGACACTGCCCCAGATCCACAACAGTCGGCGCCACCGTGCCAAACCAATGCCTGCTACGACAGCCGGCACTGGGTTCAAACGCCGAAAAAGCCGAACTTCAGGCTGGCTGCCGCACAAGCACCTGGGAAACTGAGTTTGTCTCTCGCAGAGATAACTGGCGACGGAGGCGGCAGAACTACGTCTCCCTCGACGCCATCCTCACACCCACACACACCCCCTCGCCGCAAAGCTTGCCGGGAAACCGAGTCTTCTGTTTCTGTAGGCAACGGCTTCAAGTACCCATCAAACTACTTTTCCCAAGATGCACTGAGGCAAGGCAACCCTAGCCCGCTGCCTGGCCCGGTGGTTTCTGGGAAATGAGTCCAAGCTCTCTTGAAACAAAACCACCCAATTATTGTTGAGACTCCATTCCCCAGCAATCTTATCGTGTAGCATGCATTATGGAGCCGCATGTTGCAGAGTTGCAGCAGAAGATTAAAGACACGTTGTGTCCTTTTGGCTTCGAGGTTTATCCTTTCCAGGTTGGTTTCTTCCTGCCGCAGGTTGGTGAGGTGTATGATTGGGCTTGGTGCAGACGGCGTGAGAGCCTGGGAGCTTTCCGATCCTCCCCGAGCTCCGCCACCTGCCTGGTACCGCCTCTGACCATTAGGACAGGGTGTCAAAGGGGATTGGGGTTGGAAATGGAGAGAAAAGGTCGCATGCTTGTCCTTTTGCCCCATAGAATGCTAAGTTGGTGAAGGGGAGGCAGCATATACTCCTGTAACCGGTATGACATTAACACCTAAGTAGTTTACAGAGAAAAGAGACTGTTGGGGCCAGAGTCACCTTGGAAAAGTCCTGAAGGAATTAGAAGAGGCCCAGGTCCAGAAAGTTGGCACGGCTAGAATCTAGGTCAGCCGAGACGGGAAGAGCACTTCTGGTTAAACAAGCAGACAATTGGCTGGTTGTTCTCTCTACCAACAGAAGGATAATTCACGGTGTAGCTCATCGTCAGTGCTGAATGCTTATAGAAACTGTGCCTCCGCCTGGCACAGAAGTCTCCGCCCTCCCTGCCACACTGTACCTCCCACTCTTCTACTAGGACTGTTTGCTCCTTATACTGAGAAGTATACTTAAGATAAAAAGTTAAGGACTTGTCAGAAAGAAGAAAATGAAATTGAGCTATAGATGAAAAGTTAGATTGGAAAGAAAAGGGGCCCGGCTAAAGTCCTAGCAGCTGAAGTCCTCTCCTTCAACGCACTGAGATCCCATATGGGTGCTGGTTCTAATACTGGCAGCTCCACTTCCCATCCAGCTCCCTGCTTGTGGCCTGGGAAAGCAGTCGAGGATGCCCCAAAACCTTGGGACCCTGCATCCACATGGGAGATCCAGAGGAAGCTCCTGGCTCTTGCCTTTGGACCTGCTCGGCTCTGGTTGTTGCAGCCATTTGGGGAGTGATCCAGCTTATGGAATATCTTCGTCTCTCCTTCTCTTCGTAAATCTGATCTGCCTTTCCAATAAAAATAAGTAAATATTTAAAACAAAAAAGAAGTTGCTGAATGACTGAGGTGGAGCTGCCTCAAGATGGATGAAGCCTTGGATAGCAGGCTAAGGTATGAGCCCTCCAGGCTGGCCTGAATTTTCTGTCTATTCCAGGTGGCATGGTACAATGAGCTGCTGCCTGCAGCCTTCCACCTGCCTCTGCCAGGACCTACTCTGGCATTCTTGGTACTCAGCACACCTGCGATGTTCGAGAAGGCCTTCAAGCCCTTTGTGCGGAGCTGCCATCTCCAGCCACTGAAAGACCCTGTGGACCAGTGCGTGGCCTATCACCTGGGCCGTGTCATAGAGGTAAGCAACACTCGGCCTTCCTTCAGCTTTCACATCTACAGATATTCTTGCTTTGCCCAAGCCCAGCACAGAATCCAGATCTAGTGCTAAGAGCCATTCCATAGATGAAATGATAGCCACATCAGCTTTGACATTCTTCTAAGCTCTCCCTAGCCCTGCTTCCTTAGCAGACCCCAGTGTGAAATCAGTCTTACTCTCCATAGATTAACAAATGTATGAACCTCAAACCAAGTTGCACAGGAATGAGTCCAGCATCTGGCAGGCATTGCTCACCTGTCTTACACATCCTTCAAGCTTTACACTGTCTATTGAGGACTTCTGAGGACAGAGGGGTATTTCCCCCAATGAACTCACATATACAGGGTTATGTACACGTATAAGTTAAACCCTGTCATTCCCAACATTGGAGCTGGGGAGGACAGAGCCAGATCACCCCTTACACTAGACGTTTCTGAGCAAAATTTTGTATATTTTTCTTCAAGTGGAGGCCCTCCTAGAAAGCATAACTTTCTATACAAAGGAAGAAACGACCCAGGTTAAGGTCATGTTTCCCTTTAAACAAGACTTTGGAGAGCAGGACCATGTTAACAAATTAGGGGCTCTCTAGGCTGACTCCCCACATGCTGACAGGAGCCTCTTCTCTGTCCCAGAACCTTCCGGAGCTACAGATAGAAGTCATCACTGACTATGAGGTATATCCCAACCGGCGCCCCAAGATTCTGGCCCAGACAGCAGCCCATGTGGCGGGGGCTGCTTACTACTACCAACGACAAGATGTGGAGGATGATCCCTGGGGAAACCAGGTCAGAAGACAAGTGTGAATGAAAGGACTGTGATGGAAGTGGTAACACCCCCCTCAAGAAACCCCTATCAGGGCCCACATTCCTTTGGTTTCCCCCTGGACTGAAGTAACAGACACAACCCAGGAGAGAGCTTATGTCCTGGTTAGGAGACCAGCATTATCACATGCTTTCTAGTTTTCTTGGGGACAGATCAGGTCAGAAAACTGATCTATTCTTAAAGCCCTATATTGTACAGGATTCAAGATGGGAGGTAGGTAGAGCAGTGTCCAGACCAGTGAGACTGGAAAGCTGGGTATCAGCCTAACGAAGATATTTATGAATGTCCAAAGTGGGGCATTTGGTGCAATGCTTAAAAATTGCTACTTGGCATACTCACATCCCCTATTAGAATGCTTGGGTTTAAGTAAGTCCTGACTCGGCCTCCAATTTTAGCCTCTTCCTAATGTCAACCCTGAGAGGTGGCAAGTGACAACTCAGTAGCTCTTGTGAGTCTGCCATCCAAATGGTAGACCTGGATGGAGTTCCTGGCTCCTGGCTTCAGCCAAGCCCTGCTTCCAGCTATTGGGGGCTGCTGGGGGTATACTAGCAGTCAGGAGGCCCCTCTCTGCCTTTCAACTGTTTTTCAAAGGTTGCCTTGAAGAGAGGCTAGTTATTGAGTGGGACTTGACCTTGTAGTTCGGACTTTGTCAAGGTGACCCAAGTGACCTTTTCTTTACCCTCTCCCCAGCACATATCGGGTGTATGCATACACCCGCAGTTTGGTGGCTGGTTTGCCATTCGAGGGGTGGTGCTGCTACCAGGGATAGAGGTGCCAGATCTGCCACCCAGACAACCTCCTGACTGTGTGCCTGCAAGAGCTGATCGCATTGCCCTGCTTGAAGGTTTCAATTTCCGTTGGAGAGACTGGACTTACCGGGATGCCGTGACCCCACAGGAGCGCTACTCAGAGGAGCAGAAGGCCTACTTTTCCACCCCTCCTGCCCAACGCTTGGCCCTACTAGGCTTGGCTCAGCCCTCCGAGGAACCCAGTCCTGTGCCCCCTGGGCTTCCCTTTACTGCACTCACCTCCAAGAAGCCTCAGAATGTCAGCAGGGCTCGGAGCTGGCTCAGCCCCCGAGTCTCACCACCACAATCACCTGGCCCTTGATACCTTGCTATCCTGCAAGATACCAGTTTTCAGTGGTACTTGCCAGGACTTAACTGGCCTTGGCAAAAATTTTATTCTGGGTACGAAAGGAGTACTTCTCTGAACATGAGTCTTTAATGAAGTTAACAAGACACAGGAAGCATCATGGTATAGCCACTGCCATCTTTGTGGGTACCAGTGTCATGGCCACATCACATCTGATCCGGTTCCTCACCAATATGCTTGAAAAAGCAGCCTGCCACCCACATGGAGACCCAGTTTAAACTCCAGGCTTCAGTGTGGCCCAGCTTTGGCCACTGCAGCGTTTTGGAGATAATACCAATGGATGGAAGATCTCTAACTCTCAAATAAATCATGGGAAACCAGTAAGCCCCTGGCTCCTGCCTTTGGATCAGCTCAGCTCCAGTCTTTGTCTATTTGGGGAGTGAATCAGTGAATGGAACATCGTCCCGTTTCCTCTCTGCTAAACCTGTCTTTGAAATAAAAATATCTTTTAAAAATTTGATCAAGGGGCCAGCATGGTGGCTCAACAGACTAATCCTCCCCATGAAGTGCCTGCAGCTCATATGGACAGTTCATGTGCCAGCTGCTCTACTTGTGACCCAGCTCCCTCCTCATGGCCTAGGAAAGCAGCAGGATGGCCCACGTCCTTGGGCTCCTGCACCCTCATGAAAGACTGAAAAAAACACTCTTGGCTTGTGGCATTTGGGGAGTGACACAGCAAATAGAAGATAATGTCTCTCCTCCTGTAGATCTTCCTTTGAAGTACAAATCAATTTTAAAAATTTGATCAAGGGACCAACATGATATAGCAGGCTTACCCACTGCCTGTTGACACCAGCATCCCTTATCTTTGTATTCCAGATGCTCCACTTCCAATCCAGCTCCCAGCTAACGTGCCTAGCTACACAAATGGCCTAAGTGCCACCTTTGTAAGACCAGGATGAAATTCTTGGCTCTAGTTTGCCCTAGCGCTGGCCATTGCAGCCACTTGTGAACCAGTGAAAACATCTGTCCTTTCTCTGGTCCTTTCACATCTTTTTAAAAACATGACAAAAGACCAAAGCAAATCCAAATCTCCCTCCTTCCTCAAAATAGATCCATGCCTCTTACTACCATTCTGTACAGCACTTAAAGCTGTTACAGGGCCTTAAGCAATCATCCCATAAACAGCTTACCCCATAGGGTTGTACAGGCTGAATATAACAAATCATGGTAACACAGGCACACAGGATTCAGTTCTCAATCTGTCCTAGCCTTGCAACTTCCCTCAGAACAATGATATAGATGAGGGTTAATGGCAGGGGTAGTGCTATGGCATTGTACACTAAAGCCCTGCCTGCAGCACCACCATCCCACGCGGGTGCCAGCTGTGACCTGGCAGCTCCACTTCCTATCTAGGTCCTTATTAATGGGAAAGCAAGGCAAGATGGTCCAAGTCTTTGGCATCCAGCACCCAGACCGAGAAGCAGCTCATGGATCCTGATCAGCTCAACTTGGGGCTTACAGCCATTTGGGGGAGTAAGCCAGCAGATTTAAGTTTAAGATGTTTTTTTATCTGGGCTCAGTGGCTAAAGTCCTCACCTTGAATGTGCCAAGATCCCATAAGGGCACCAGTTCTAATTCCGGCAGCTCCACTTCCCATCCAGCTCCCTGCTTGTGTCCTGGGAAAGCAGTAGAGGATGGCCCAAAGCCTTGGAGATACCAGGAGGAAGCTCCTGATCTGCACAGCTCCAGCTGTTGCAGTCACATGGGGAGTGAATTATCAGATGGAAGATCTGTCCGCTATCTCTTTCCAATAAAAACTAAAAATTAAAAAAAGACTCCCATGACCAGAACCCAGGGATAGCACTTCCACTGAAACAACTGGCCCCGTTTTTCCCCTTCATTATTTACTTCCAATGGTGCAGAGGCTTCCACTTCTTTCAGAGAAGGTACTATTAGAAAAGGTCAAAGTTGCACTTCCCAATGTAACTGCAGCTGTTGGTGTTAGTATCCTATAGCCAACACTATCACAGGGATTGCTGTTCTCCAGATGTAAAACAAAATCTAACACCTTTTTCAGTCCCAACTGCTCTACTATGCCACAACTCAATTATTTGGTTCTAAGTAGCTCTCATTCTTTATTTTGCCCTTATGAGGGAAAATCATAAATTTTTACTTGTTTAAAGGAGTCTGGCATGATGGCTCGCTCAGTGGCTAAATCCTCGCCTTGCACGTGCCAAGATCCCATATAGGCAATGGTTTGTGTCCTGCTGCTCCACTTCCCATCCAGCTTGGAAAGCAGTCAAGGATGGCTGAAGGCCTTTGGATTCCCCCCCTGCACCCATGTGGGAGAACCAGGGAAGGCTCCTTGCTCAGGATCGGCTCAGCTCCAGCAGTTGCGGCCACATGGGAAGGAAGATCTTTGTGTCCTCTGTAAGTTGGCTTTTTCAATAAAAATAAATTAATAAATTAAAAATAAAATGAACAAGGTCTCAATTCAAGTTTAATAGAAACAATAAAAGGTCAAAGGACTGATGCCACTACTGGTACAACATACAGATCAGATGGCCTACCTCCAACTCAGGCATTGCCAACAAAAGACAGGACTCTCCAACCCTGTAGGAAAGGCTTTTCCTTATAGCACACATCTGGCTGAATCTAAAGCCTTGTGTTTTAAGCATGAGAAACAAAGTACAAAAGAGATTTTGCGTTCATGGTTGCACACTGCAGCCGTCATTAGTGTGCAGTCACATTAAGCAGCCCAGTGCTCACTTCTGCTTGGAGAAATATTCTTTGCTCTTCTGGACATCAGGCTTGATGGTGTCACTGCCAGGCTTCCAGCCAGCTGGGCACACTGCAAGACAAAGGGACTACTAATGAATAAACTGCTCTGGGTTTTGTACCACCCTCTCCTCCTCTGGACAAAGTGTGACCTCAAAGGCAGACACAGGCTGTAAAGAGAAGACTAAAGTACTAGAAAACCTACATTGCATATGACAAGCATTCTGCTCTTTGGTGTACAACCACTTTATACAGTTTAAGCCAAGTGAGTTCTCATCATGGCTGATACACTTTCAGACCTATTTTAATGTGGCCCCTGACAAAGGTAACAGCTTTTTGGAAATGTTTTTCTTAATATTTTTACAATACTTTAACCAAAAAAGCATGCTAGAAGTAGTGGTAATGAACACTCTTTATAAACAGTTAATGCCACTGGCAAAAAAAAGTTGGTAAAGCTTAAGTGATCTGCTCTAATTCCATCATGCAAGGAGAAAAATGAAAACAAAAACAAAGACTCTATAAGCCCCTAGCACTAAGCTGGCTGCTTCCTCAGACAGACCAGCAGAGGGCTGAAGGCTGCCACTGTTACACAGCCTCTTCAGTGCCAACCCACACAGCCAAAGCCACAACGGAGCCAGCCCTCTACTGAAGGCCCTGCTTGTTTCACATGTAACCACCCTCTACCTCTTAGTAAGCAAGTCAAATCTGGATCTTTTGCATAGCCTGCAACCCTCTCCTAAGGCATCTGAGTTAGTAACACACCCCGAACTATCCTGAGAAAAGCAAAGTACATGTGAGTGTATGCGCATATGGGGAAGAGCTCAATCCAATTTTCCTACTTGGCTATTGTCTTTGGGTAGTGCAGGCAGGCAAATCCCCCCTCAGCCTAACAGCAGAGCCTCAGCGTCAGACCCAGCAGCCAGCATTCTGGATACAGGAACAGATCAAGCAGCTAAACAGGAAACCCATTATTTCCCTAAAATCTCCACTGAAATGGTTATCATTACTGGCTTTGGTGATGTCAAAGGGTTAAAAGGTCAAAAACAAGCTACAAAAAAAGAGCAGCTTGAAATCAAAGACCAGGCCAGGGCTATCCAATTTACCAATAGTTTAAAATGGGATCCAAAAGATTCCTCTGACTAGGAAGACACAAAGAACTGCGCATCACAGCTGAAGAGAAAGAAAATGAGCCAGGCTGAGAGTTCTGCCATTACCCGCTTCGGCACCAAGACCTCAGGCTCCATCACCCACACTCCTACTAAGGACACCCAGCAAATCCGAGTTGCATATAAACTGTCTCAACCACAGCTAACATGCCACACCTCTCCAAGCACAAAGACAATTGCCACAATCTGCAAGAACTACTTCAGCAGGAACAACTCTCTGCAACAGGAAAACTGAAGCCTACAATGCTGGCATTCTACAACAGGCACTGGTTCATATCCCAGCGGCTCCACTTGCAATCCAGCTCCCCAGTAACAGCCTGGGAAATAGTAGATGGTGCTTGGGTCCCTGCTACCCACATGGGAAACCTGGATGAAGCCTGGTGTCTGGCTTTGGCCTGGCCCAGTGCCGGACAAAATCATTATTTCAGGAGTACAGACAGAAGATTTCTCTCTCCCACCCCATTCCATAATTTCTTCAGCATTTCAACTACCTTTCAGAAGGAAAGGCAGTCTTTGATTTTGGGTCCAAGTGGCAACGTTACATTTAAAGCACTGGCTTATTCAGCTCTTAAAAAATATATCTAGGGTTGGGGCCCAGCACAGTAGCCTAATGGCTAAGGTCCTCACCTTCTATGTGCCAGAATCCCATACTGGTGCTAGTTCTAATCCCAGTGGCTCTGCTTCCCATACAGCTCCCTGGCTACTGGCTTGAGAAAGCAGCTAAGGTCAGCCCAAAGCCGTGGGTTCCTGCACCCATGTTGGGAGACCCAGAAGAGGCTCCTGCCTTCGAATCAGCTCGGCATCAGCCACTGCAGCCACTTGGGGAATAAACCAGCGGACAGAAGGTGTCTCTCCTCTGCTATTATACATGGTACAGAACACCAGTGCTCCTTCCCTCTTGGCATCGAACTGTCCACCAGAGGGCACTCTCAGCAGCTAGTGCTCACTTAGGAAAAATCAGCCTTCCTTTCTAACCAGAGCTGGTATCCCACTCTAGTTATTAGAAAGCTAGCCTCAACTACTTCGTCCAACTATATCTGATCTTGATCTGATGCCATACACTTGAGAAGAGCCCTACCGCTTTCACACATGCCTTTCCCTACACATCTCAATAATAAATTAGTAAATTCATGTAAAAATAACCAGAAACACTTAAGACAAGGGAAAAGAAAAATATAGCTAGTAAGAATAAAACTCATGTAAGATCTTGAGACTTTGAAAGAACGTTGGAGATCTTACTTCAATCCCCCTATCATATTTAACATTTTTCGTTAAACAAGTGTTTACTTAACACTGGTGCACACCCAGATGGCTGCCAACAGCAGGGGTAGGGGCAGGCCAAAGCCAGCTTTCTCTGGGTCTCCCAATGTGAGTACAGAAACCCAAGTACTTGAGCCACCTTCTGCTACATTCCTGAGCACATTAGCTGGGAGCTGGAGCCAAACTGAAGCAGCCAGGATCACCCTTAAGTATAATTCTTAAATACAACTATCGCTGAAGAGAATGGATATTTAGATATCAGAATTATCAGTGTTTGCATTTATCTTTGAATAAACTACCAATCTTATTTTTACTTTCCCAAATTCAGAACAGTATTACGGGGGCTGGCATTGTGGCACAGCATGTGAAACCATCACCATGACATCAGCACCCCGAATGTCTTCGCAGCATCCTTTAGGGGCTGTAGCCAGCAGATGAAGACCTCACCCCGTTCTCCACCTTACACCTATCTTACAAATAAATCTTGGCAAAAATCAGATAAGGAAAATCACATCTATGAAATCCTCCTACATTCCAGGCAGATCTGTAGTAATGATTTGATATAGAGACTATGTAGTCCGAACAAAAAATTCCCTTCCCCAAAGCTTTCCATTATCCCCACTACCCACCTACTATAATCCAGACTTCCATTTGCTGCAGAAGCATTACCACCCTCTCCTTCTAGCCATGTTCCCACCACCCTTCCCACTCTATGCTTACCTTCCCCGTGTTTGTCAGTGTACTGGAAGGCCTGCACGAGTCTCAGGGTCTCATCCACAGAGCGGCCCACAGGGAGGTCGTTCACAGTGATCTGGCGAAGGATGCCCTTATCATCAATGATGAAAAGGCCTCTGGGAAGAATGAAGGAGAGGCAAGTACAAAGTTTAGAAAATTAAATTTCCTTAAGAAACAAACAAAAAACAACAACAACAAAAAACCCTCTGGCTTTCACCATCAATTCGATAATTCTGATGAATGTCAACCCTACACTTACACCCAGCTGCAAGGTGAACATACCTGAATGAGATGCCTTCATCAGTCTTTAAAACCCCATAATCCTGAGCAATGCTGCGCTTGGGGTCCGACACCAAGGGAATGTTCATGGGTCCCAGTCCTCCTTGTTTCTTGGGCGTGTTGATCCTACAGCAAAGACACACATAAGGGACAATCATTGTATCAAACTCTTGTATAAAAACAGCACTAACCTACCTATTTCTCCCTTTTTCACATTTTTTTTAAAGACTTAACTTACATTTATCAGAAAATCAGATTGACTTGGGCCATCCTCGACTGCTTTCCCAGGCCACAAGCAGGGAGCTGGATGGGAAGCGGGGCTGCCAGGATTAGAACCAGAGCCCATATAGGATCCTGGCACATTCAAGGTGAGGACTGTAGCTACTAGGCTACCGCACTGGGCCATCTTTCTCATATTCTTAATCTAACTTTCCAAAGAATTTGAATATCTTTCTTAGCAGTCAAGTGAATGCCAGGCATGTAGCAGTTAAGTGAAAGTGAGTATACTCGGCTTCACCTCAAGCCATTTCTCCTCTGCTACCAGGTAATAAGCCACGCCTGAGCCTCTGAAGTCCTTCCATGGGAAGCTGGAAGTCAACACTTTAAACCCTCCTGCCAAAGTCTACGTGCCAAATGGGCCAAGATACTTACCATGCCAGGTGGCAGAAGTGGGAATCCACAGAAATACCAATCACCTGGCAATTGAGTTTCTTAAATTCTTCTGCCCTGTCGCTGAAAGCAATGATCTCCGTGGGGCAAACGAAGGTGAAATCCAGAGGGTAGAAAAAGAACACAATGTACTTTCCTGGGGAAGAAACATGCACAAATTAGCCTCTTAAAAAACCTCTTTGCATTTAGCAGGAATAAATCACTTTTTTCTTTGAAAAGGATTTAATTGCTTAAAGATACAGTAATTGTTAAAATATGCTCAATATAGCGGTCTCTTCACACCTATTTTAGAACCTGTTGCACCTTTCCAGTTCCATGTTTTAGCTCTCCTGCCTCCTCCATGTTCTTACTGCTGCAGCTACAGAACAAACACTGCTCAACAATCTAATTTTTATCACTCCGAGTAGCAACACTGAACAAACATCAAGCTTTCCAACAAAGGAAATCAAAGCTATAACTATCAGTACTGGGTGGCCTATCAATGCTGACAAACATTGCCAAAAGAAGGCTGGATTGCAGCAGTCTTCTTTGCAGAAAAGTGTAGGGCACTTACACTTCTCTGCCCGTTACAGAAATAAATTTTCTTTAAAAAAAAAAAATAGCAGCCCAGAGGTGTGGCCTAGCGGCTAAAGTCCTCACTCTGAATGCACCAGGATCCCATATGGGCGCCGGTTCTATCCCAGCAGCCCCACTTATCATCCAGCTCCCTGCTTGTGGCCTGGGAAAGCAGTTGAGGACGACCCAGAGCTTTGGGACCCTGCACCCACATGGGAGACCCGGAAGATGTTCCTGGCTTCGGATCAGTGCAGCACTGGCTGTTGCGGCTCACTTGGGGAGTGAATCATCAGATGGATGATCTTCTCTCTGTCTCTCCTCCTCTCTGTATATCTGACTTTGTAATAAAATAAATATTTAAAAAAAAATACTAGAAACTAATTCATCTAAGCAACTTTTCCATGGCTTTGCATGACAAGCACTTGGGGGCCCCAGCAGGTCAAGCCCTAGGGGACTAGAGCAGCACTCCCTTTACAATCGAGCCAGGGTCCCCTCCCTCCCTTTGTGGTCCCACTCATCTGCATCAGCAGGTGCTGCCCAGGCAGAGCACAGCACCTTCACACATCCCATCAACCAAATATGATGCTCAAAGAACATAAACAAAAATGTTCTACCCAAAAGCTGACTCTAGGAACTGATGACACTACCCCTCTAAGAGCGGTACACCTGACACCTGCATTTCAAGGTTGTGTTCTAAGGAATGCAGACCCTCAATTATTCCAGACATATAACTTCTGGGACTGCCTGGCAAGGCATTAAGTTCAGAGCCTCAACAAAACTTACTAAGTGTCTACAAGAAATTGACAAGAAAGAATAATTGTTCCAGCTGCAACAACTTTTAGCTGGAGGCAAAAACAGGGTAAATGGCTAAAAAAAGCCCTCTAATAATGTAACTTCTGTGGGTTACATACAGGTTAAGCTTGTGGGACTCTCATTCAATCCTGACTGTTCCACTTCCAATGCAGCTCCCTGTTCATATGCAAAAGACAGCTCAAGTCCTTGGGACCCAGCATGGCGCGTGGGAGACCCTGAAGAAGCTCAAGGATCCTGGCTTCAATCCAACTCCAGCCATTAAGGCCGTGAGCCAGCAATGAAGATCTTTCAAATAAAAACAAATCTGCCTTTCAAATAAATCTTCAAAGAAAAATAATCTAATTGCAGTAATATATCTCACAACCTGAGCAAGTATGATGTTTCAGTTCAAAGACTTTAGCTCTGAGGCTTTGAGAATCTCACCATAACAATTAAGGAGGAACACTGCAAAGATAATTGAGTTACAATGTCCAAATGTAATGAACCATGTGCTTCCTGCAGAAGTAGTCTGGATGGACCCAGGATATCTACCCTCTGAACATTGATAATCACTTTATTGCAACATTTTCCAAAAAAACTATTTAACTAAATTCACTTTAGACCTGCGCCAGCATTTTTGACATAGTGGGTAAAGCTGCTATCTGTGACAACAGGATCCTTTATGGGTGATGGTTCATCCCAGCTCCCTGCTAATGGCTCCAGAAAGTAGAAAATGGCCTAAGTACTTGGATCCCTCCCAGCCACATGAGACCAGGAAGAAGCTCAAAGCGCCTAGCTCCTGGCTCTGGCTTGGCCAAATTCCAGCTGCTATGACCGATCAAGGGAAATCAGCAAAAGCAAGATCTGTCTGTGTAACTGTTGTTCAAATAAATAACAATCTTGTCTGAGGTTATGTATAACAGTCTATAGCCATCCCTCCAATAAGACAACTGAATCCTAGTAAACCCAGCCTGATTACTCACCTTTGTAGTCAGACAGGCTGATATCTTTGAACTGACCATCTGGCATAACAGCTGTGGCTTTGAAGTTGGGGGCTGGGTGCCCAATCTTGGCATTTCCTGAAGACATTTTGCTATCAATTGAAATAAAAGAAATGAATGATAAGCCTTATTTTTCTACATAGCCAGCAGTCTTTACCCACTTGAAAGATTTAGAAACGACTGTCCAATTTCCCTGAGCAAATTTTGCTATTACTAAATAGCACAGGTCAACAAAATCATAAACTAAAATTCCCAACTTTTAATATAAAAAGTAACTGAATCTTAACCATTGTTTAATTTGACAACAGCACAAATGTTTTTCTACATGGAAGCCACCTGTCTCAGAACTATTGTTTCGCAACAGAATTTTGTTGTATTTACGGAATAGAAATTCTGCATATATATATATATATATTATCAATCACCCTGTTTATATATATAAATATATATATAAATATATATATAAATATATATAAATATATATATAAATATATATAAATATATATATAAATATGTATAAATATATATATAAATATATATATAAATATATATATAAATATATATATAAATATATATAAATATATATATAAATATATATATATATATATAAACAGGGTGATTGATAATCTCAAATTAGATTCTAAGTGTAAAATGCCACTAAAGGCTAAATGCCCATTTCCCAAAACCAGTCCTGCTATGCCTTCCCAGGACTGTGCCTCCATCACCTGTCTTAATGTGGGAAGCACACAGTGGCTTTTTCAGGTTAAGTCTAACACAGCACACAACTTAAACAATCCGACTTTAGACACTTTCCCTACAAGTCCTTGCAAAATAAATTTTTGAATTCCCAACCAAGTCAGGATTGCTTGGTAATAGGGCACTGGATTCACCCAGGTCAACACCAAGATAAGGAGTTAAGATTTAACTAAGTCATTGGCCTGAAAGTGGCCAAAAGATCATTTTCAAAGTCTCTAAGTTTTTAAAGTACAATACCAAAAAAAAAAAAAAAAAAAAAAAAAGAAGAAGAAGAAGAAAGAAGCGCTGGGTATCGCTCCTGGCATACTTTTTATTATTACTTTTTAACATCTTTCGCAGAAAAAAAATATGCAAAAACCTGGTGAATAACTTAGAGGGTGTGACCCTAATTTCTTGTTCAAACCTGCTTTCTGGGTGGCCTCCCCAAGTTCAAAGCCCAACCAATGTGCCGGACAGGCTACAGGACTCCAAGGATCTGATCCGCCTACAGTAGCCATGACGACGGCCGGGCTCCACACCGGGACTGGTGGCCACTCCCGCCCTCGGCTCAGCTCCGCCCTGCCCCTGCTCAAAGCCCCGGGCGAGCACGCAACCTACAGGGAGCACTTGGATCCTCGAAAACCCCGCTGCGCAGAGAAAACGTCGGGGAAAGCAAGCCCACTACCCGAAACTAGGCAGGGTGTGCGGCCTGGGAACAGCCCCCTCACCCTATCACACCACGCTGTGTTCCACGGCCATAGGTCAGGATGCACGCATGATAGAAACTTCCCGAACCGCCCCGCCCCGCCAGAGAAGCCACGAGGGAGAGCCCACCGCCACCAACACCGCCCCCCGCCCCCCACGGCCCGAGTTGCGCCAAGAGGAGACTTGAATCGACACTAGCCTCGGGGTTCAACCGGGTCCCCGCGCCCTCCGCGCGCCGGAACTGACCGCGGCCTGGCCGCCTCACAACACCCCCAAGCGAGCGCGGGCAACCGAGAGGAGCAGCAAAAAGTACGCCGGCGAAGTTCAGGGGCGCTGCAGCTCCGCGCCTCCAGCCCGCGAGGCCTCGCACGACTCACCAATTCCAACGCAGAAGCCTGAGAGACGAGAGAACGGAACACGAGGCAGGAAGACGAAGCCCGCGGACGGCCCGGGGCGCTGCTTTTATAACCTGTAGCGCTCTCGCGAGAGTCGGGGCGGGCCGGGGGGTGTGGGAGGAGGGCAGAGGAGGGGGTCTGGCCGGAGCCCGCCCCGCCCAGCGTGCTCCGCGGGAATGACTCAGCGCTTTGCGGGTCGCGGGGGGCGAGAGCCCCGGGGAAGGCTTGCCCTCTCCGGGCGGCCGAGGTCGGACAGCGAAAGTCGGTTTCTGACCGTCCCCACGTCCAAACCGCCTCCTTAATCAGGGAGACGGAGATTCTCGACTGACTGCGCGCTGTCCGCGGAAGGTTAAGGACCACGTCTAACTATATCAAAGCCCGCATTTGTCCTCCTCTCAGCCGAGGTCCCCCGCAGCTTCTGACCCAGCCGCTGAGACTGCTTTATTGTTCACATCCATGGTTGCTTCTTCTAGTGGCCTCTGTCTTGGCTGCTGAGGCAGATTTCTCTGAAATCTGATGTTTACTCCACAAAGTTGAGGTTTAAAATTTCACCCAAAGTGTTCAGGTGAAAACGCCTATCATTTTATCTGTAACCTTAGGCCAGTCAATCCTGCCAACCCTTAATTTTCCTCACCTGTAAAATGGGAATGCTGTAAATATTTAATTGAACATCTTGGGTGTCCTGGATTATCTGAATCAGAAAGCCCCACAAAATGCAAATTACGAGGTTTGCATACTCACTGTGCCTTTTAAGGGTCTGTGAATCAGTTGGGAGGGAGGAAGTCCGCAGTTAGCCTGTGGGTGTGGGGAGGGGCCCAAAAGAAGACTGAGCACCTGCTGGGAAGGAATGTAACGAAAGGTGGCAGTCTTCCAGCCGCCCCACCAAGGAAAGCATAATCCTCTCCTCTCAAGAGTCACTCAGGAGGCTGGTGGTGTGTTTATCAGGTAGAAACCGCCCGCCTTGTACTGTTTCATACGGCACTGGTTCTAGTCCTGGCTGCTCCACTTCTGATCCAGCTCCATGCTGGTAAATGTGGAAAAGCAGCAGAGGAGGCCCAAGGAATTGAACCCCTGCACGCATGTAGGAGACCCAGAAGCGAGTCCTGCCATTTTACAGGTCCAGCTCCAGTTATTGTGGCCCTTTGGGGAATAAAAAGTGAACCAGCAGAAGCATCTGCCTCACTCTTCCTTTCAAAAAAAAAAAGGCAGTTGCCTTTCAAATACATACATACATACATACATAGATGTTAAAACAGAGCAAGAGAGGACTTCCCAGTCCAATGACATTGGGTAATACAACCTAGGGAGGAATTTCCTACTTCACACCCAGCAAACCTTTTGTGCAGAGGAAGAGGTCGGGGAAAAAGATAAATGGAGGTGGAATGTGAACTATCAAATGGAGGATTTCTTTCTTACCTGTGTCTCTCTCCCTTTCTCTCGCACTCTGCACTTGAAATAAATCTTTCAAAAGGAAGGAAGTCCTAGTGGCTAAAGTCCTTGCCTTGCATGCACCAGGATTCCGTATAGGTGCCAGTTTGTGTCTTGGCAGTCCCACTTCCCCTGCTTGTGGCCTGGGAAAGCAGTCAAGGACAGCCCAAAGCCTTGGGACCCTGAACCCACACGGGAGACCTGGAAGAAGTTCTTGACTCCTCGCCTCAGATTGGCTCAGCTCTGGCCATTGCAGTCACTTGGGGAGTGAATCATCAGATGAAAGATTTTCCTCTCCGTTTATCTGCCTTTCCAATAAAAGTAAATAAATCATTAAAAAAAAAAATTCAAGGAAGGAAGAGAAAAAGAAAATAAACTATCCAGGAGAAGTACCCAAAATGTTCTGCTGTGCTTAAAGAGCTCATGATCTGATTAATCCACCTACCAGTTAAGATGATTCCCCACCAAAAACAAATTGTCACAAACCAGGAGAAGAGAAAGAAACCAACATTCAGGCCCAAATGTGAAGATTCAACTGGCTAATCCTCTGTCTCCAAGCACCAGGATCCCATAAGGGCATCAGTTCATGTCCCGGCTGCTCCCTGCTAATGTCCTGGGGAAAGGAGTGGGACATGACCCCAGTGTTTCGTTCTGCCACCCCTGTGTGAGAAACAGATGATGCTCTCAGCTCGAGTCTGTGGGCCATTGCAGCTATCTTGGGTATGACGAGCAGATGGAAGATCTTTCTCTGTTTCTCCTTGTCTCTGTAACCTTGTCAAAAAAATAAGTAAATCTTAAAAGAAGTTTCAGACGTAAATTCAGCATAAATTAAATGCAAAACAGTAACGCACACATACATACACACAATTGAATTCATCTATAGCTTATTCAGCACAATACCAGGTTATTATTGTACATGACAAATATTAGCTATGACCACTATTAACACTTTCAACCAGGCCTGGCACAGTAGCCTATGGCTGAAGTCCTCGCCTTACAAGCCTGGATCCCCTGTGGGCACCGGTTCTAATCTCGGCTGCTCCACTTCCCATCAAGCTCCCTGTGGTCTGGGAAAGCAGTGGAGGATGGCCCAAAGACTTGGGATCCTGCACTGCATGGGAGACCCAGAAGAATTGCCTGGCTTCAGATCACCTCAGCACATGTCATTGCAGCAACTTTGGGAGTGAACCATTGGACAGAAGATCTTTCTCTCTGTTTCTCCTTTCTATATATCTGCCTTTCCAATAAAAAATAATAAATAAGCCTTTCAAAAAATTCTACCCTCTTTATTTTAAACACCTGGAAAAGAGCTTAATTACTTGAAGCCAGGAATCCACCCATTCCTTCTCAGTTGGCTGGGAAATACTCTTTGACTAATCAATTTAAGACTTCCTCTATAGCTGTTCCTGACCTTGGCTCAACCCAGAATTCCTCTAAAACTTTTCCTGACTTTTGTTTGGCTCTCCTTTATATCCAAACAATAATCCATATAGCAAAGAAAAAGAAGGGGGTTGGGCCCGGCGCGGTGGCGCAAGTGGTTAAAGGTCCTCGCCTTGCACGCCCAGGATCCCATATGGGCGCCGGTTCTAATCCCGGCAGCCCCGCTTCCCTTCCAGCTCCCTGCTTGTGGCCTGGGAAGGCAGTCGAGGACGGCCCAAAGCTTTGGGAACCTGCGCCCGCGTGGGAGACCCGCAAGAGGCTCCTGGCTTCGGATCGGCATAGTATCGACCCGTTGCGCTCACTTGGGGAGTGAATCATCGGATGGAAGATCTTCCTCTCTGTCTCTCCTCTCTGTATATCCGCCTTTCCAATGAAAAAATAATAAAAATAAATCTTTAAAAAAAAAAAAAAAAAAGAAGGGGGTTGCGAAGGAGAGGCTGTGCAGTGGCCTAGTGGCTGAATCCTCACCTTGCTACCACCAGGATTCCCATCCCATATGGCCACTGATTCATGCCCCAGCTGCTCCTCTTCCCATCCAGCGCCCTGCTTATACCCTGGGAAAACCATAGAGGATGGCCCAAAGCCTAGGCACCCTGCACCCACATGAAAAACCAGGAGGAGGATACTGGCTCCTGGCTTCGATTCACGCAGCTCTGGCTATTGCAATAACTTGGAGAGTAGAGCAGCCGACAGAATATCTTTGTCCTTCTCTCTCTAAATCTGCTTTTCCAATTAAAAAAAAAAAGATCCAAATATCATTGTCCCCAGTAATTCCCTAAGTCTTTATAAAAGGCTAGGGAATGAGGAAGTGCTGTGTCATGCTGACTGAACATCTCAATATGTTGGTATTTATCACCCCACTTCTCAACAGGAGTGATTTTTGTATACCTTTCCCTTCCTTGCCTGAGGCTGGACAGTCATTTGGCATTATTCATTTCTGTCTTGAGAAGGCTGAAGAGCAAACTCTTCATAATGAATGGTTCTTTCTTTTTTTTCTTTCGAAGATTTACTTATTCATTGGAAAGTCAGAGATATACAGAGAGGAGGAGAGACAGAGAGAAAGATCTTCTGTCCGATGATTCACTCCCCAAGTGAGCGCAATGGCCGATGCTATGCCAATCCTAAGCCAGGATCCAGGAACTTCTTCCAGGTATCCCACACGGGTGCAGGGTCCCAAAGCTTTGGGCCGTCCTCGACTGCTTTCCAGGCCACAGGCAGAGAGCTGGATGGGAAGTGGAGTTGCTGGGATTAGAACTGGCACCCATATGGGACCCCGGCGCGTTCAAGGCAAGGACTTTAGCCACTAGGCCATGCCACCGGGCCCATGAATGGTTATTTCTATAGTCAGGTTCAACCAATAATACACATGCATATTTCAACCGAAAAAAGACTGCTGCTACCTATTATATCTTCTGGATGCCAAGAATGGGCACTTGAGTGGGTTCCTCCCTCTTGGGTTACCACTCCAATGGGAGGGCACAAAATAACTAGGATAGGGCCTGGCGCGGTGGCACAGTGGTTAAGGTCCTCACCTTGCACGCCCAGGATCCCATATGGGCACCGGTTCTAATCCCAGCAGCCCCGCTTCCCATCCAGCTCCCTGCCTGTGGCCCGGGAAAGCAGTCGAGGACGGCCCAAAGCCTTGGGACCCTGTACCTGTGTGGGAGACCTGTAAGAGGCTCCTGGCTTCGGATCGGCATGGTATCGGCCGTTGCGCTCACTTGGGGAGTGAATCATCAGACGGAAGATCTTCCTCTCTGTCTCTCCTCTCTGTATATCCGCCTTTCCAATAAAAAAAAATAATAATTAAAAAAAAAAATAACTAGGACAGGGGCTGGGGTAGCTAGACAGAGAGGCACTCAACAACATCCATGTGTGTGGGCTGGATAGTTGAGCTGGTTAGATGGAACTAAGCTTCAATACCCTTCGAAATTTACGAGAGCCAAATGGGATATGGGCAGACTTGACTAGTCTGCTACACATACTGGCAAACCAGAGTAGGGGCTGGCCTGGGGGGGGGAGGGGAGTGGTTATTGTGGGTTAGTCTGACTAGGCTGCAGCTCCCACTGGTTTACGTGGGGCCCAAGTATGTGATGGGCAGAACCAGGCTGGACTGCAACACCCATTGGTTCCAGTGGAAGTTGGGGCTGAAAACAGAACCAATCCAGCAGTTGCAACCACCAGCTGATCGGGGTAATGGACTGTGCCGGGCCCTG